CAATGCACAGAGAACATGACCGGAAAGAGAAACACAAGGTTTATAGGCTGTGACATATGAGTGGCTCAAATGCAATGTTTGAATTTGGGTGGTGGAAGGTCACAGTAGGCTCAAGATCTCTATGAGGGCTTTTGTTATTGAGGATTAGGCTGTATCTTTCCCCAAAACTAACCAAGAAAGGAGCAGAACCCTAGGAAGAATTTTTTTTTCTTTCCCTCCTCTCCTCCTCCTTCCTCTTCTTCTTCTTCTCCCTTCTCCCCCTTTTGTTCTTGCTTTTCCTCTTCCCCTTCCTCTTCTCCTCCTCCTCCATCCTCTCCTCCTCCTCCTCCTTCTTCTTTTCCTTCTCTTCCTCCTGCTTCTTTTTTAAAAAAAGATTTTATTTATATATTTGACAGAGAGAGGCACAGTGAGAGAGGGAACACAAGTAGGGGGAGTGGGAGAGGGAGAAGCAGGTTTCCTGCCGAGCAGGGAGCCCAAAGTGGGGCTTGATCCCAGGACCCTGGGACCATGACCTGAGCCCAAGGCAGACTCTTAACAAGTGGGCCACCCAGGCGCCCCTCCTCCTCCTGCTTCTATCTCCCTCTCAGTCTCTCTCTTGTTATTTGCTCCCTACTCCCTGCCCTTGGTCAATTCTGTTAAATTTCACAAGTATTTGCTGAATTTTTGGTATCCATTATTACTGGGTAAGGCCACACGGGATTTACATATCCAGTAAAGATGATTCCTGCCCATCAAAGTCTCACTGCATAAAGCGGGGGGAGGACACATGCAAGACAATGATTTGAGGTGAAACAGAAGCACCCACAAAATATGATGAGAAAACAAAGGGTTTTGGTCGAGTAAGCATTGGTCGAGTGCTTACAATATGTGAGGCCTTAGGTTAAGAGTTTTCCATGGACTTCCTCACTTAATCCTCACCCTAACCCTATTAGCAGGTACTAGTATCATTCCCATTTTATAGCTAGTTTTTCAAGTTAACTTGTTCACCCAGCTAGTTAATAGCAGAAGATTCCTACTTTTGCCTGGCATACCCTTTACTCTCTCTACCTACTCAAGTCCCAACCCTGATGCTCCCGAGCAGAACCCACTTGGCTGTGAGCCTTCTCAGACACACCTATTTGGAGACAGTGGACCCCAGGGGAAGTGCACAGACCTTAACGTCAAACATACTTCCTCTGCCATCCCTGCACTTGCCCTTGGGGGTAGGGTGGAGAAGCATGTTTTACAAAAATCCCTAGTGGACTTATGTCTTAAGATGGGTTTCCCAGAAGCAGACCCTGAAGTGAGGATACACAGGCAAGTGATTTAAGGAAGTGCTTGCAGGGGAAACCAGAGAGCAGAGTAAGAGAAGCAGCACAAGAAAGGGGAGGAAGCCCAGCACAAGAAAGGGGAGGAAGCCCAGCACAAGAAAGGGGACCTCTCAGATAGAGTCCCACAAGGGTGGCTTCACCCTGGTCCCCAGGCAGCTCTGGTGTAAAAGCCTGACTGGATGCAACTGGGCTTTCACGCTGACCTATCAGTGATTGGAGAAGGCACACTCTGGGGGGAGGTAAAGTCCCATGCTTTCCACAGGGGCTGGGAAAGGGCTCCGGTAGGCCGAGGGCAGTCTTGCAAAGAAGAGCTTCAGTCACAGGCTGTTGGGAGAGAAAGCATGGGGAGGAGGCCAGAGGACAGCCAGACACACACACACACACACACACAGGATGGGAGGAAATGTAGCACTGACAAATCCCTGCTGTAGAGGGGTGCATCAGAGTCTCCATGTGGGGGAAGATGGTGAGGCTGACCCATTGTTCCTTGCCCTGCCCCCACCCAGTCTTACCCCATTTCAAGAAGTGCGGTCCTTGAAGTCTTCAGGGGAAGTCAGGTCATCTGCTGATAGTGGGGGGAGAGGGGGGAAACATGGGTAGGTTACAGCAGCTTGAGGAGAGAGGAAATACAACAGGCAGTCAACTAAAGATAAATAGCAAAAATGTCCCGGGCACTGAGGGTCGAGCTGAAGGCAGCCATTACTGATGATGGAAAGTGTACTGGGGGGTAGCTGTGTGGCAGGCGGTAAGTGCTACTTGTGGGTTATCTTTCTCAACCCTCACCCCCGGCTCCCAGGAGCCCACACTCTTAACTACTCCTTAAATGCTTCCCTTCATGATTAGGTGTATCAGTCAGAGTGCATTCAGGGAACCTCTTTAAAACAGAGGTTACTGAAATAGCCAGTAAACATATGAAAAAGTGTTTTGCTTCATTAATCATCAGGAAAATGCAGATTAAAACTATATACGGCAGGGGTGCCTGGGTGGCTCAGTCGTTAAGCGTCTGCCTTCGGCTCAGGTCATGGTCCCAGGGTCCTGGGATCCAACCCCGCATCGGGCTCCCTGCTCTGCGGGAAGCCTGCTTCTCCCTTTCCCACTCCCCCTGCTTGTGTTCCCTCTCTCGCTGTGGCTCTCTCTGTCAAATAAATAAATAAAAATCTTTAAAAAAAAACAAAAAACAAAAATAACCCAAAACTATATATGGCAGCCTGAACAAAATGAAGAGCTGACAATACCAACTGTTGTTAAGAATGTGGGACAAGCACAGTGCCCACTCATGATGGTGGCAGTGACGACTGGTACAAACACTGTAAAACTATCTACTGTTTGGGAATGTTTACTAAAGCTGAACATACAAATAACCAATCACATAATTCCACTCACAGGTATTACCCAAGAGAACTGCATGCATAACTTTACCAAAAGACATATTCAAGAATATTCATGGCCACCCTCTTCGTAATAGCCCCAATTTAGAAACTCTTAAATGTCCAGCAATAGCACAACAGATAAAATACATTGTGGTGTAGCAATGTATTGGAACACTATACGACAACGAGGATGAATTACAGCTATATATATAGCATGGAAATATTTCATAGATATAATATTGAATGAAAGAAGTACCTACTATATGATTCCATTTATATAAAGAACAGGCAAAACGGTTGCTGTTAGAAGTCAGGCTATTGAGGGGCGCCTGGGTGGCTCAGACGGTTAAGCCTCTGCCTTTGGCTCAGGTCACGATCCCGGGGTCCTGGGATCGGGTCCCGCGTCGGGCTCCCTGCTCAGCGGGGAGCCTGCTTCTCCCTCTGCCGCTGCCTCTCTCTATCTCTCTCTCTGACTCTCATGAATAAATAAAACATTAAAAAAAAAAAAAAAGAAGTCAGGCTATTGATTACTTCTGGTGGGTAGTAACTGGCAGGACAAATGGATGCCGGAGATGCTAGCAATGCTCTGTATCTTTATCTGAATCCAAGTAACGTACAGTTTGTCAAAATTTCATTAACCTGCATACTTATGATGCAAGCTCTTTTCTTCACTACATACTACACTTTAAAGTCTAAAAAAAATAATAACTTTTAGTAACTCTAACTTTAAGGAGAAGTTTAGTTACCTGTCTGCACCTAACCTTCCTAACAACTTCCTCATTTAAACTTCACAATGACCCTGATGGCAGCAAAGGCAGAGAGACCTTCTGGGTGCTGAGAGCCTCTCTCAAACTTTTTTTTTTTAAAGATTTTATTTATTTATTTGACGAGAGAGACACAAGCAGGGGAAGTGGGAGAGGGAGAAGCAGGCTTCCCGCTGAGCAGGGAGCCCGATTCGGGGCTCTATCCCAGGATCCTGGGACCATGACCTGAGCTGAAGGCAGACACTTAACAACTGAGCCACCCAGGCGCCCCATCTCTCAAACTTTTTTTGATGAATATTTTCCAAGTCTGAGTTCACATTGATAAAGGAATGTACGCAGTATTTTGACACGAAGGTGGCTGTGAGAATGGGAGCAGAGGATGGGACAGACTTTAGCTGTTCCAATATCCATTGGTGCTCCATCTAGGTTATCCTAAATAAATTTATAACCTATATTTTTTAAAAATGTGCTTAATATACGAACATCACTTCAGCCATCCCATATAAACATCAGTATAAGAAAAAGGTCTTGTGCTTTTTATGCAAGACAGGTGTCCCAGCCACCGACCCCTCCCCAACCCCTTGCAATCAGGTCCCTGTTTCCTAAGACCTCCCACCTCTGAGTGCTGCCTGAAGGCCGGTTTGACTGTTGGACTCCTGCTTTGACTCTTGTGGTTTCAACAGTGCAAGGTGGAAATACCCTCTAATAACATTTCATAAAGCGTTAGTTCTGAGGTCGTTATGACAACGGGGTGTGGCAGGACAAAGCCAGTCAGGGGGCAGCAGCTCAGAACTGTCCCTGCCCCTCGGCAGAGCAGAGCGCAGCTCTCCACCGACAGGGGGACTCCAGTTTTAAACGCCAGCAAGTCTCTACCCGGGTTCTGCTCAGCCTTTGACAAATCCCATTCAGAATCCTCACCCCCGCCGTGTTCACGCCCACAGGACCCAATCTATCTGGTTTAAACGAGTTCCACTCATGTCCTGAGCCTCCACCCACTTTAGCCTAATAGGATTTTTGGCTACTACGCAAATCGAGTGAACGTTTATTTATTCATTCAAAAGACAAAATAAGAGGTGGAGTGTAATGAACTGATTTGATTTATTCAGTAATGTGCCAGCATTGTGCTGCGCGTCGCAGTGAATGGGAAAAAGTTAATTTGTGTACATCATCAGATTGTGTCATTTTCCTACTTAAAATAGTCCAGTTGCTACCCATATTAGAATAAAAAGCAAACACCTGGAAAAGCCTCGCTTACAATTAGTTATTTTTATTTGTCTTTAGTTATGACTTAAAAGTTACACAAAAATACAAAGGTGATGAGATTGGTGAGTTTATGCCTCTTTTACGATGTTGCTGTTCGACAAAAACCGAGAGGCTTAACCCCCGTAACAACCGCAGGTACTAAGTCTCCCGCACCCCCCACACCGTAAGTCTGTCCCATCTAGCTTCGCTCATCCACAAACATCGCGAGAACAGAGCCGTCCCTTTGGCCCCACCCCCAGCCGGCTCAACCCCACCCACTTCTTGCCTGGCGATCTCCTGACGTCATAGGCGCGCCGGAGCGCTGGAACGGCTGTACCGAGGGCGGAAATGCTCTCGGCGGAAGTGGTAGCTGCGCAAGTTGTGGGTGGAATGACCGCGGGCCGGCTCCTTCGAAGGCTGTTGCGAGCACCTTCCAGCTCCATGGCCCAGAGCCCGGTCGGTGGCGTGTGCCCCTTGAGGGGCTTGCACGCGGAGCGCGGGCCTCGAAGGCTCTCCATCGAAGGAAATATTGGTAAGGGCCGGAAAGTGGCTGCAAGCCTGAGAGGCTGAGAAAGGGAGCTGGGCCCAGACCCCCCCCCCCTTCCCCGCGGTCTGATGCCGCGGGGCCTTTCCCCTCCCAGAGAGGCCTTTGCTTCTTTGATCTTTAGGATGTCAGGCCTCGGAACTCCTCCACAGCCACGAAGTCTGTAGCTAGGACAGGAGTTCTACCAGCTTGTTCTGATCGAAATGGATGCGAACAAGGAGCAGGGTGTAATTTCTTTGTTCTCCTAAGATAGGGTTGCCAGATTTAGGGGGGAAAAAGGTGCTCATTTAAAATAGGATTTCAGATAACGAATACTGTTTTAGTGTGTGTCCTATGCAGTATTTGGGACATAAACTAGAAAAAAATTATCTACAGTTAAAATTTAACTGGTGTCCTGTATTTTCTCTGGCAGCTCTACCTTAAGAGTTCCTAAAGTTCAGTCATTCAAATACCACTTAACACTAATTTTACCGTGTCTCTCTTCTAGTCCCATATAATTTCTTAACGTTTTTCTTATAAGAAACTCACTTTTTAAACTTAAAACATGTATTAAAAGTAACTTACAGCAGTAGAGACCCAGTGTCTTAAATAAAAAGTAATCATAAAACGAAACGAACGCAAAACACTTCAGTTTAATGTTACCAAATTCTGACTTGATGGTTTTACTAGCTAAGGTGCTGAGCCCTAAGGAGATTAGCAAGTGTTGAGTATTGAAGGCATTCTAGCAGCAAATTAAGAGTTTCTTATTTTATTCATTCAACAAATAACCCTTTGAGCAACTTCTGTTTGCCAGCACTGTTCTTGGCCCTGAGGATACAGCACTGAACAGAACAAATAAAAATCTCTCGTGGCACTCTAGTAGTGATAAATAAACAATATAAATTAAGTAAACAATGTATTAGATAGTAATGAGTGTGATGGGGAAAATTCAGGGATGAGTGATTGAGGGAAATGGCAGTTTTAAATAGGGTAGTCAAGACAGGCCTCACCGAGAAGGTGACATTGGGACAAAAACCAGAAGACAATGAAGGAATGAAACAATGTAGGTAACTGGGAGAAGAATCTTCCAGGCAGAGGGAAGACCAAGTGCAAAGGCCCTGAGGTGGATAGTGTGTTCCAGGAACAGGAGGAAAGCTGTTGTGGCTGGAGCAGAGTGAGCAAGGGGAGAATGGAAGGAGATGAGGTGTGAAGGTAAGGAATGGCTGGATTGTATAGGCCTTTAGCCCGTGGTGGATTTTTACTTACCATCGGAAAAGGTTTGAGCTGTCAAGGGACATGATTTGACGTAAATTATGAAAAGGTGATTCTGGCTGATACGTTGAAAGTAGAAGGTGTCAGGAGGCTATTGCAATGATGAGTTGCTGTGAGTTGGAGCAGAGTGGTAATGGTGATGGTAAGAGGCAGTTGGGTTCCAGTTACAGTTTAAGGCAGGGCAAACTGGATTTGGTAACAGATGGGTGAATGTGAGATCAGAGATCAATCATTTTGGCCTGAGCAACTTGAAAAATGGGAGTTCCAAATTTTCTTAAATGGAGAAGCATGGGAAAAGATACTCGGGGCAAGGGATGGTTTCAAGATTCTATCTTTAGCCATTTTAGGTTTTTAGGTGCTTATTAGATATCTAAGTGGAGATGGTGAAGAGGCAGTTGGATATGTAAGTCTGGAGTTAAGAGTCTCCCTGGACTGGAGGTATAAATGTAGATGGTATTTGAAGGCAGGAGACCTTGTGTGTTGATGGAAAGGAGATTGGGGAAGGAACCGGGCAAAAGAGACTGAAAGGGAATGACCACTGAGGTCGGAGCAAAACCAAAAGAGAATGGTAACTTGGAAGCCAAATGAAGAAAGGTGTTCAAGGGGTGGGAATGTTCAACTGTGTAATGCTGTTTAAGTAACAGAGCTTTTTGGTGAACTCAAGAAGAACAGTTTTTAGGGACAGTAGGGGTGAACGTCTGATCGGCATAGGTTCAAGGAAAATGGGAAGTGAGGAACTGGAGACAGTGGATTAAGACAACTGTTTGGAAGTTTTCCTAAAAAGGGAAGACATAGGGTGGTAACTGAAATGGGGAGGGTTTGAGGGAGTTGTTTCCAGTTTTTTCTTTTTGTAAGAGGAATTAGATCATGTTTGTAAGCTGGTGAAAATGGTCTAGTAGAGAGGGGAAAAAATTGGTGGAGCAGGAGATGGTATAATTACTGGAGTGATTTTAGTAAGCAAGAAGGAATGGAGTCTTGCCGAAGTGGAGAGAGGTTAGCCTAAGCTAGGAGCGCAGTCTATCGCTAGTTAACAGTGTGAATGGCAACAGGAGTGAGTACTGACTTGAGTAGGCGTGGTGGGAACGTGGGGAAGGTCTTTTGGTTGTTTTCTCAGTGAAACAGGGAGAAGGCTCAGCTAAGCAGAATGAGCATGAAGAGAGAGGAAAGACATGAATTAGTCTAGTGAGTGAGCAAGAGAAATGTAGAGCTGCCAGTTAGCATTAAGGACCCACTTGGACTTAGTGGTCATGAATTTAAAGTGAGACCAGTCACCACATCTGTTTTTTGTGTTTCTCCAGCCAAATCAGAAACATCAAAAAGATTGAAAAGGGAGGGTCCTGCTCCCTGCCTCATGGTGTTAAAGATGCTCTTTGGGAAACATGCCTCTAAAGGAAGCTCTGTTCTCAGAGCCCAGAGAAGTACCAAAGTACTTCACACAATAAATACTTGGACAGGCCATCAGGTGAAGTTTGAGCTCCCTCTCCCAATTTCCCTGACCTTTGCTTTTTAACCTTTCTAGATGGATATACTTCTTCCTTGCTTTTACTCGAATCAAGACTTACTGAGTACCTGCTATGAGGGTAGACTCCCCTGTGGTACAGTTCCTGTCCTTTAAGGAGCTCATAACCAGATGGGAGGAGCAGACTTCTAAATACAATTCCTATGCCATGTGATGAGTGCCATAGTCACTTGGGTATGGGAACTCAGAATCTCTGGGGTAGGAATTCTCGAGGGGGAGATGACGAAGGAATGTTCCAGGTACAGGAAGTCACATTTGCCAAGGCAAAAGCCTGAAGAAACATGCAGTCTTAAGAACAGGGTTGTGCCTGGATGGCAGAACAAGAAGCTGGAAGGGTAGACTTGCCAGATGTTGAACAGCCTGTGCAGCATGCTAGGAGTTTGTTGTGTAGGTGGTGAGAGGCTACTGAAGACTTGAGGCCGGCATGTGCCATGACCAGATTCATTTTTTTTTTAAGATTTTATTTATTTGAGAGAGAGAGTGAGAGAGAACATGAGCAGGGTGAAGGATGGAGGGAGAAGCAGACTCCCCGCTGAGCAGGGAGCCCGATGTGGGGCTTGATCCCAGGACTCCGGGATCATGACCTGAGCCAAAAGGAGACGCTTAACGACTGGGCCATCCAGATTCATTTTAAAAAAGAAATTGGCCGGAAGGAACGAACAGAAAGCTTCAAAAGCAGGCACTTTCTTTGTATGTCTTGTTTGCTGCAGTACCCATAGTACCATGCATCCGTTGTGTGGAGTGAATGAGCAGGAACAGAATTTGGAGTAGATAGTTTTGTGGCTGTCGTTGTAGTTGGAATGTGGGAAGATGTAGGGCTGGACAGAGGGAATGGAAGGACAGAGAAGAATGGAGGTTTGAGAGGGATTTAGAAGTGGGATTGACAGGACTAGGTGGCCACTTGGAGGTGAGGGATAGAGGCATAGAGGATGACAGTGAGGTTATAGTTTGGACACTGACTGAAAACTGAGGATGGGAATAAAGGAAGAAGTCTGGGGACGTTAGAGTGATAGATTTGGTTATCAGGTGCCTCTGAGACATACATAGATGTTCTGAGGTAGATTAGGACATGTGCCTGAAATCGAGAGAGATGGGACTGAGATTTCAGATATGGAAGTTGTTGATTGTGGGGGTAGTTGTTGAAGCCTTGGAAGTGAATGCACTTGCCCAAGGAAAATGTGACTAATGGCAAGTGGACTGGGGGCCCCTAATCTGGCTGTTTCTAGTTTTACCTCCTACTACTCTCCATCACCCCACACACCGTGATGACTGTCCTCAGGCAGAATTAGTCACTGCCTCCTCTTTGTGCTCTCCTAACATTTTGTACCCAAAACTGCTGCAGCACTTGAGTTCTGTGAGGATCGTTTGCACATTCAACACTTCCCTGGGTTGGCCACTTAGTGTCTTGCTCATCTTTGTATCAGCAGCACCTAACCCCCTGCCTGACCTGTTGTATTTTTTCAGTGTTTATCAGATGCTTGACTCCTGCGCTGTGATACCATGTGGAAGTTAGTCATTGGTGCCCACGGAGGGAATATTTTAAGCTGCTTTAAAATCAAGGCAGGAGTGATCTTGTTCTTTAATCACAGGTGGCATCCCCAAACAAATCAGTACCCCTCCAGGACACCTGAATAAGGGAAGGTAAACCCCTGTCCTAACTGAAATTAGATATGTTTAGAGGGGCTTTTCTTGTAGTCATGCTGCTCTGAGTCCTGTTGATCTGATTCTGTAAGTGCAGACCATAACACGTAAGGAAAATGGGTCAGTGAGGTGGCACCTAATGGCGCCCAGTATGAGTTAAGAAGCCATATGCCATGTGTGATGGAAAATGAAAAGTTTGGTGCCTAGAATTCCTTAAGACCTAAGAAATAAAATACTTAGTCTATCTTCTAAGTGTATTCATGGCTACAGTGTATTATTGCCTTCCCAACCCAGTTATTTTATAATTACAGACCTCAATTGAAGAAAGGATTGCTATGAGATACTGGCAGTGAGTCATCTCAGACCATTCTCACTTTGATTTTCAAAGACCCAACCAAAAAAGAAGAAACTTTGTCACTTTTACAGTCTAGAGACTTCTACATAAAGCAGAGAGAGCTTCCCTAATAGTATGTTCCATACAGTCTAATGTTACTAATGTGCATCTATTGCTTTTATTGCATATAAACAGTTGGGCAAAGAATCCCAGGGAAAAAAAGCCCTATTTATTCTAAACATTGTATATTGGAGTCTTTGTTTCTGTGATTCACCTCATTCCATCCATCTCCATTCCTGGTATCTGGCTGGATACTCAGGATGCAAAGGGAACAAGGTCAGTTTGTGTCTTCAAAAAGCAAGTGGAGAGAGTGACGGTCACAAATAATTATAATGTAATACCTTGGTAAGTCAGGGCAGGCAGTGGTTACCTCTGCCCCTCGGGGTGAAGTGGACCAGAGAGAGTTCAAGAAGGCTTCACTGAGAAGGCGATAATGAAAGGATGAATCATATGCTGGGAGCTGAGAGCAACTTTTGTTGTTGTGAAGCATAGTTTCCTATGGGAAAAACAGTAAGAGGAATCAGAGCAAAAAGGTATTAAGTTTCTTTTAAGCCTGCTGAGTGATTTTTGTTAAGTTTGCCCAGAATGCTTTTGGGCTCAGAGCCTTTCTGATCCTGGGTACTTGGTTTCAGGGGTGGAGTATAAGCTCCTCGAGGGCAAGGTCTCCGCCTAGTTCATCGGTTTAATTACAGTACCTAGCACCTGGTAGCTCTTCCATAAACACCCAGTAAGTGAATGAGCAGATGGATACAGCATCAAATGTAAAGCCTAAAATACAGGCTTCACATGTTCTTTGGAAGACTTTTTTTTTTTAAGATAGTTTTACATTTACTGCCTTAGTTTGCTTTTTGGTACAAGGTTTCAGAATTGGATTTTTGCCATGTTTTAAATTTTATTCAGGCTAGGAAAATGCCTGGAGGTGATGGTATGTTTAAGAGGCTCACACAAAATACAACTGTATTACTCGGAGTGTTACATCAGATACTATCTAATTGCTAGGTTTTAGCAGAATGTAGCAATAGCAGGCATCATAGTTTATAGAAAAATTTGTGGAGAGAAAAAAATCATGACTTAGGAAAGGATGGAAATTAGCAACAGAACTCTTTGATGTAGCCTGTGGAATGACAGTCCTGGTGCTAATAAAAATCAACATGTTGTACTAATATACTCTAAGAAAGTACCTCCTACCCTTTTGCAAGTCATGGCACATATAATAAAGTTCAGTAAGAGCTAAGGTCTGAGAGGAAGGTTTGATTCTGAGATCTGATACCTCCCAAATCTCATGATATTAAAAAATATATTGAGAGATAACAGTGAACCTGAGATCTAACTAAATTGTGATAATGATACCATAAGAAGCTGGTGCTCTGCCGAGAGACCAAAGGAAGGACTTTGTCTTGTTTGCCCAGTGCTGCATGAAGAGGAGTGGCTTTTGGCGGACACGAGTGTTCTGCTCCCTAGGAGGAGGCCAGTGTAGCAGGAAAGAAGCAGGCAGGGATGCCTGGGTGGCTCAGTCGTTAAGCGTCTGCCTTTGTCCCAGGTCATGATTACAGGGTCCTGGGATCGGGTTCTGCATCAGGCTCCTTGCTCAGCGGGGAGCCTGCGTCTCCCTCTGCCTGCCGCTCCCTCTGCTTGTGCTCTCATGCTGTCTCTCTGGCAAATAAATAAAGTCTTAAAAAAAAGGAAAAAAGCAGACAACATCACTCTTAAGAAGACCCTGGGAACACTTTAAAACACATGTCTTAAAAAATTAAACAAAAAAACAGGGGCGCCTGGGTGGCTTGGATAGTTAAGTGTCTGGCTCTTGATTTTGGCTCAGGTCAGGATCTCGGAGTTGTGAGACAGAGCCCTGCATTGGGCTCTGTTCTCAGTGGGGAGTCAGCTTGAGATTTTCTCTCCCCACCCCCCTTTGCTCCTCCCCCCTCAAATAAGTAAATCTTTTTTTTTTTTTAGATTTTATTTATTTATTTGACACAGAGATAGCAAGAGCAGGAACACAGGAGGGGCAGTGGGAGAGGGAGAAGCAGGCTTCCCTTGGAGCAGGGAGCCTGATGCGGGACTCGATCCCAGGACCCTGGGATCATGACCTGAGCCGAAGGCAGACTCCTAAGGACTGAGCCACCCAGGCGCCCCTCAAATAAGTAAATCTCAAACAAAAACAACAATCAAAACCCAAGCAGGAAGAAAAAACTTATACTTAGGTATTATAGCACTAAAAAGTGTTATGCTGTGTGTGGTTTTAATATGAATATATAACTTTGAATTATCTTTTAAAATTATTTCATATTTGTGGCTGGTGCCTGGCATAGCTGAGTTCCATTGGAATACAGCTTAAGAAATACTGTCCTATGGCAAATGACCCAGGCTCTCCGAGCGCAAGAGCAACCTGGATGGCACAGCACTTAGGACCTGCCACCACCATTTACTGTCATTCTTTGCTGAAACTGGCTCCTGATTACTAAACTGGCTTTCCAGAAGCTTTTGAATGGGCAGTGGGGTGCAGGGCAGAAGTATTGTCCTGGTGTAATTGTTCCAGTAATTGGAACTGTATATTTCCCATTACATCAAATTTGTTGGCATTCCGGGTTTTGTGTGTTTAAAAGGCATGAGTCGGTTCCTCAGAGTCCTGACTGCTTTTAGATGAACTAATAGTGTCTGATCTCAGAGGTGAAGCTGGCACTCCCTAACCCTCAGGGCCCTTCCTATCCATCTGCAGTAGTTTCTTAGATTGTTTTTAACTTTTAAAAAATGTAATTCTAATGATCATTCAATCCCAGCGATCTCAATTGCCTTAATCTTTCCCTATTAATTAAAATATTTTTTTGACTGGTAGGCAGGGACCACATTTTAGATTTAATCAACAACCTGCAGTCTAAATTATTTTAAAATAGGGTCTACTCAGAGCAGG